AACCAAGTATCAAATATTCCTAGAAATTAGGAACTGCAATTTCAACGTAAACAAGAATAAATTTTCTAACAAATATATCTATTAATTTATGTTTAATACATTTTTTAAAATAAAATAATTTATTTGGTTCCTACGGGTTGGAGCATATAAGTTTTTGCGAAGTACCAAAGTATTATTTCAAGCATCAATTAATGGTTTAGTTCTCTTATTTTAATACCTACCATTGGAGTTGCTCTAAAGTATCAAAAAAACTACTCCTTTGATGCTTCCGTTGGAGAAGAAATTTTAAATTTTGAGAATCAAAATGAAAGTTTTATCATATAATACTCCATTTGATTCCCCCATTGGAGTTGCTCTTATTGTTGGAATTATATTTATTAAACCGAGTATTTCTAATCACATATAGTTGATATTTTGAGGCGACTTTTTATTATTTTTTTCCTATGTACATACCATGTATAAAATAAAATAAAGGGATAAACACAGTTTTGCACCCTTTAATATTTATGAATTCTAACACTTACCCCTTAAACTTGCCTCGTACGACAAAATTAGGGGTAAATTACACATATATCCGTGAGATATGCTAAGATAACTTTAAGGTTTTCGTGGTATTAGTAATTACAACCACACCTCTATAATTAGTACCTGGGCCAAGATTTCATGTCCTAGAGACCGATATGCACTATATTTGTTTCTCACGGGGCCATTAATGCTACCATAAGCGAAAATGTATAAATCTTATATAAAATAATAAGTATTTAAGAAATGTTACAAGAGTCATATCACCCCCTAGTTCTATGTTGTTTTCACCATTGTCTGAAACTAATAATCCGTTAGATCCCTGACGGAATAATTTATCCAATGCATTATTCCGTTACGATTTCTAACACTGTTTCAGGGGTGATTGTAATTACCAATACTATAGGGACCTTAAAGTTATTTTAGCATATCTCAGGGGTGTAGGTGTAATTTACCCTAGAATAAACTACCTAACCACAAAATTTCAACAACTAAAACAAAGAAAGAAAAATCAACGAAACGCCATCTACCCCCAACTAAACCCAAAAACTCTGCAAAAATCTCTGCATCCATCAATGGCGTCTGCTGCATTTCTTCATCTATCGTCGTCAACATCGTCTTCTTTCGCCCTTTCCTTCAAATCAAGCCGACAATTTTCTCCCCAATCAATTCACGTTTCGAAAAACCTAAGCTTCACGGTCAAGGCCTCAACATCCCTCGACTATTCCGCGCCGTCCAAATCGAAGACCAATCCGAGCAGCTGGAAATGGAAATTCGAGGGGAATTCCGTTAACATCCACTTCGAGCGGCTCGAGAGCGACGGCGGCGCCGCCGATCGGCCGAGGAAGAATATCCTGATGGTGCCCACCATCTCTGACGTCAGCACCGTCGAGGAGTGGAGGCTCGTGGCGGAGGAAATCGTCGGGAAGAACGGTGGGGTCAATTGGAGCGCGACGATTGTGGATTGGCCCGGTCTGGGGTACTCGGACCGGCCGAAGCTCGATTACAATGCTGACGTCATGGAGAGGTTTCTGGTTGATTTTGTTAGTTCCGCTGATAGTCCTATTTCCAGCTTCGTTACAGGTGCGTAACCGGTGTCCGTATTTACCTTCTAATTACGAATCTCGATTTTACATGTGCTCTTCGTTTATTATATTTATAGGTTTCTTATGATCATCGATTTAGATTTTGACTACGAATATGGACTAGATTTATGTTCGAAGTGCACACATCACGTAGGGCTAGAAATCAAACCAAGCTACTCGATTCGAGATTGTTCGTCAAAAACTCGTTTGAGCTTTGTTTTGTTAACGTAATGAATTAAGGTTGAACACGTATTTTCGTTCGATATGATTAGCTCGATAAAAGAAAAATCAAGATACTCGAGCTCGATTCATTTTCGTCTCGGTTAAAGCTCAATCGAGCTCGACTTTGTTGCTTATCAATCCAAGCTCAAACACAATTTTGAAAGCTCGATAAAAAATCAAACAAGCTTAACAAATATGCGTACGGCTCGACTTGATTCGTTTACACCCCTATATCACGAAATGAAGATTATGCCAAAAACAAAATTTTATTGGATTTTATTCACTGACTCACCAAAGAAATATTTTGTTATATGAAAATTTTCACTATAGTTTTGGGGATAATCCACGGTATTATATGAAAATATTTGCTTACATCATTGAAATTATATTCCAGGGCATGCCATTGCTCTTATCAAGTTCTAGAACGGTTTTTAGGTTGACTCTTAGTGGACCGATTAATCGAGTGAGAACAAAAACACTCCATTAAGTTGACTCATAGTCAACTGACAGGATTTTCGTTGTTTTAATTGTTGAGAACCTAAGGCAGCAATGCAACAGAGAAGACTTAAAGATAACTCGGAATTTTCTGTGTAATTGAGAAGAATGTGATGTTGATGGAAGTTTAAATAGCACTAATTATAGTGAATGACCAATTATTCTGTTTTTCCTCTACATTGAAGTTTGAGAATTTGTCCCATGATGTTTCTTTAACCTCGTAAATATAGATTCAGGCCTCGTTTGGTTATTGTTATTAAGTCCTACTGACTAAGTAGTACGATTTAGTAACTTGTTTGGGTGTCAACATTCCAACTAATTTGAAGCCTGCTATAAAAGTTGAAGCCCGCAATTAACTGCTTCTATCCAATAAAAAATAGTAGTTGCCCTACCCCTACAATTAATTTTCAGTTAGTTAGTAGATTGACAAAAGACAATTTTGTCCATAAATATTAAAAATTAGGATATGATTATTGTTAAATTAGAGATGTTATTGAAAAATCACATATAATACAATATTTTAACAATTTTAATATTCGATCTAATACAATTAACCAAACATCTTGCTAACTAAATAAATTAGTTAGTTAGTAGGGAATCGATCCAAAACAGTGTAATCTAATCTAATCCAATATAAGTAAGCAAACGGAACCTTAATCTCATAGTATTATGTTGTTTCTTGACATAGATGAGGAGTATGTGGTCTTTGGAGGAGGGCATGCTGCAACCATTGCCGCCCGTGCTACAAAAAAGGGTTTCTTGAAGCCAAAGGCTATAGCTGCCGTTGCACCCACTTGGGCGGGTCCCCTTCCTATCGTCTTTGGTCGAGATTCAAGTATGGAAACTAGGTACATATTATATCATGCACCTTCTTGTATAGGATAACTCACACTTGCTAATCATGAAAACGTTCTGTATTTTGGTGCATCGGAACTTTGTTGGTGGTGCTTCATTGCTGTCTAGGGGTGGAAATTGGAACATAATTTCTAAATTCGCCGATTTCGATCGGAATATTTCCAATTTTGGATAATATTTTTTTCTTTCCGAATTCCAATTCCCAATTTTTTCGATTTTTTTATGGAACGTAATTAGAATACATTTTAGATTCTGAATTCCGATACAATTTTATTTTCTGAAAATTCCATTTTTTTTTCTTTCTCAAAGTTATATTTTAAATATCAATGTTATTATGTTTTTTTATATTGGTCACTAAGAAAATGGTAATTCCAAATTCCACCGATTCCGATTCGAAAGTTTTCGATTTTGGAACAAGTTGGTTCTTTCAAATTTCCAAAATTCCGATTTCCAATTTTTATGATTTTGTTTTTGGAACGGAATTGGAATTAGTTCTTCACTTCCAAAAAAAATTGGATTTTTCCTAATAGTGTTAATTCCTAAACGATGATTTTGAAATCTAACATTCGATTGGCACCTAAACGATGATACCAATGAATTCTAAAACATTATCAGTACCTTTACAGTTTTTCTTTTACCACATTCAATTGGCACCATGACAATACTCATTCTTGATTTTATTACTTAATAACTTCTAACTCTATTTCCATCTCGTAAATTTCACAGGTACGGGCTTCTAAGAGGAACAATGCGGGCCCCCGCAGTGGGGTGGATGATGTACAATTTCCTCGTAAGCAACGAAAAGGCAATCCGATCCCAATACAAATCCCACGTATATGCGGACCCCGAAAACGTAACTCCTAGTATTATCGAGAGCCGTTATGCACTCACAAAGCAGAAAGGGGCCCGCTATGTGCCTGCAGCTTTCTTGACCGGATTGCTCGATCCAGTTAATTCAAGGGAGGAGTTTCTAGAAATATTCGCGGGGCTCGACGGAGTGACACCTGTTCTGGTGATGTCAGCATTCGGAGCACCGAAGAGATCGAAAGCTGAAATGGAAGCTCTGAGAGGAGCAAAAGGTGTAAGAGAATTTGTTGAAGTACCGGGTGCTTTATTGCCTCAGGAGGAGTATCCGAAGGTTGTTGCCGAAGAACTGTATCGGTTTTTGCTCGAGAATTGTTGATTCAAGTCCCGTTGAGGTAAATGGGCTTTTACACATTTAGACTTATTTATTTGAAACTTTTTTGTTGAGTCGCAATGTGATTAATACATGATAATTTTATGTTGTTGAAAATATTGGACAGAGTTGATATCATATACGTAAGTTTCTTGGGGTGTATGCTTTCCCATTTTGTATTTATTTTTCCGAAAATGTATTTGATTTCTTCAGTCATTTCGAATCGTTTCTACGACGTGTTACCGATTTTGTTATGATTTGAAATTGAATCCCACATGCAGACTTGTAAATTGCCAGCTAGAAAATGCTGTTGACTATGCTTGTCAATGGGTTATCTTTTGAATTGTATTCACTAGTTTTCGGTATTCAATTTGAAATTGATTAGAAAATCGTGTATAGAATTAAGCAAAAAAAAAAATGTTCCGTGACTTGCTATTGAAAGGTGTTTTAAATTTTTCGGAAATTACAAAAATGCTAGAAAATGCTATTAACTATGCTTGTCAATGGGTTATCTTTTGAATTTTATTCACTAGTTTTCGGTAACTCTGGTGTGTGCGCGCGCGCGCGCGTGTTTATTTATCGTTAATGGTATTTAATTACTGCGCTTCATTAGTTAAAATTAATCATGTATGCTCTTGTGTATTATATAGAGGCCGTCTCACGGACTTGTCGGACCATTTTTGTAATTTCCGAAAAATTTAAAACACCTTTCAATAGTAAGTCACGGAACAATTTTTTTTTTTTTGCTTCCTTTATTCTATACACGATTTGATAATCAATTTCAAATTGATTAGAAAATTGCTGCTATATGGACTTTAAACTATGGGAAAAACGTCGTTCTTCGTTGATCGTTTGACGTATACCGAACTAATCTAGTCAACTTGTTCGTTACACGGATTAGACTGTATTAGTGAGCCTATAATGCTAAAAAATTCTTGACTGTTATGTACTTATGAGATGCTAATTAGATGAAGCTATTGAGTTTTTATTTTATTTTTTTATTTACTGAATTTAATGATTACAATTAAAACCTAACACTCATGAAATAGTAGTAGTTGAGCTGTATCTATATGCAATTTGTCACTATATAATGCAATAATGTGTAAAAATCACATCAGGGGACAATTGATTTAAAGCTAACTTTATGATTTTAATTTAAATGTGACCATTTCTTGAAACTAACATCTAACCTTACTCCTTAACACCTAAAAATCAACCAATTTCTGAGGCTTCCACAGCAAAAAAAAATTAATGCTGCTGTCGAAGAATCTGTGGTACCAAATCCGAGATTGTAATAGTTCGAAACGTCGAAAGTCAGACAGTTATTGTTGTGAAAATACAAACTAGAGTGTATCTCTATTCTGCTGATGATGTGTTTGATAAATTGCCGCTGAAGGGGTCAACTTCAAATTTATTTGTTTTTGGCTACATCATGTGTGTATGGTGATGCAGTGATTTCTGACTATTGTGGCCTAATATTTACAATTTTTATTTGATCCCTTTTGGCCCTACTACTTTCTTGCAAGATAACAATGGTTTTCTTGTGTTGATCTCTCTACTTCATTTTTTTTTCTTTATTTTTTTTCGAATTATTATCGAAACGTACGAGAGCTAAACGAGACGCATACACGTATGTATTCATTTATTTTATTTTTTGTCTTCTATGCCACACTATAAGTTTGGTGCTTTCATTTGTTGTCTTTCTATTCTAGTTATTAAAGAGCCACATAATTGACCTAAGATGTATCAAAAAATGCTCTTGGGTTCACTTAAATACAAAAAGTCATTAAATCGTTGAAAACTACGAGTTATATGCTATGTAGCACGAAAATTTCAACTTCTTAATTTATCCGTGTTTCGGATATGTTTCGCGTCCGACACTCTAGGACACCTACAGAACACCTTATGGACCATTTTGTAATTTATGAAAAGTTAGAAACATGTTTGAATAGCAAATTTTCAAATATTTTTGTTGTTTTCCTAATTATTTACTTGCTTTACTGATCAATTACAAATTAATAGTTGATAATATATTTATTTTGAATATATTTCGGTCCAAATATATAAAAAATTGCATATTAATAAAAATTTATATATGCTTATATAGTATTTATAAATATACCTCTATCTTTTTAATATTTACACGTTTCCCCTAAGTTTCAGTACCCCATTTTTGGGATACGTCATGTTCCTGTGGCCGTTTCTCCGTTTTCCCCTATCGGCATTTCTCAGCTATCATTCGTATGGACACCACTTGAAAATTAAATTTTAATAAATGTTAAAATATATAATTCGATCAAATTTTAATAAATCATATGTTTGTCATTTAATTCATATGGACACCGCATGAAAATTAAATTTTAATAAATGTTAAAATATATAATTCGATCAAATTTTAATATAAGTTTTAAAATTGAATTATTCTTTTTTTCTTTGTTTTAAGGAATAGAAAAAGGAGGTGTCATTTAATTAGACGGTGCCCCGAGACGTGGTGTATTCTGATTGGGTGGAATTAACTAGTGTTAAAGTTGAAGTAGGGCCCACAATAACAACCGGGACCATATTATCCATGAAAATGGATATTGCACTCATAAACGTTTGTATTTTGTTCCCGGACTGAAATAGAAATCAATGTCAAATCCCATAATAATATATTTTATTAGCTTGCAAGTCAACACCGCCAGACCCGCGAATTCAAACATGCATTCAATCTTTTGTCGGGTTGCGGGTCCATTCTCCCTCTCTCACACACACACAACCCGCAATCAGATCTGTATGAATCATCAATCGTATACCCGATCGAGTATAGGCTAAGGGGGGCCATAACCCCTCGACATTTATATAAGCCATATTTGTTTATATATAAATTTATAACTTTTTCGTGTATACTACCAATACCATCTTCTATAGTGTTTTCATTTTTTCACTACATACTTACTGGCCAAACCCCGCCCTCATCAAGTGTTGTTCTTCCAGAAACAAAAAAAAAAAAAAAATTATAAGAAAGTCTCCGGGTAAACAACATTAAAACTTCCTGTGTTAAGGAAAATTTGCGCCAAACCTCCATGTGTTTTTTTTTTCTTGCATAAAATCTCCTTGTATTTTATTTTACTTTGCATGAAATCCCATTTTCCGTTAAAAGTTAACGCCGTTAACTGTAGAGGGCATTTTATGCAAATTTTTTTGTAAAATAGGGGGACTTGGTACATGTTTTGCGGGGGGGATGTCTACGCAAAATTAATTAATTCATTTAAAATTCAAATTATTTTTTTAAATTAAGTCGAATATATCAATTAATTTAAAATATGAAAACTAAGAACATAATAATCGAGATGGAAGTTAGAATGAATTCTCAAATTATTTATGTTCTTTTCACATATAATTAGTCAAGAATAAATTATAAAAATATATAATAATTGAAGAAAATGATTATATAATTTAAAAAAAAAATCAAAATTCATACATTAATAAATTATATCATATAGATTTTTTTTAAAAACACATTCACCACACCTATTAAATTTTTATTTTTCATATTATAATCGAATAAATGTGTTCAACTTAGTTTCAGAAAATAATAAGAAATTTAAACAAATTAATTAATTTTTTTCCATAAAATCCCCTTGTATTGTAGAAAATATGCACTAAATATCCTTTTTGTTATGAAAAAATTGCATAAAATGCCCTCTATAGTTAACGCCTAACGGCGTTAACTTTTAACGGAAAAAGGGATTACGTTCAAAGTAAAATAAAACACAAGGGAGTTTTACGCAAGAAAAAAAAAAGTATAAAGGGATTTGACGCCGATTTTCCTTAACACGGGGGGTTTTATGCTGTTTACCCGAAAGTCTCCTATTACGACCGACATCAATACATTTGTTAGAGAAATATAAATCAATTTACATTTTTTATTTAGTTAAGCATCAAATCCTTAATCAAATCACTAATAAAAACTTGATTGAATCTAATCAAATCACCTAATTAAGGCTGAACTAAATCAAAAATGTAAATTGATTTATATTTCTCTAACAACCTTTGATGAACTTTTAAGGTGGGGCAAGCTTGTGACGACCCGGTTATTGGCCTGGTCGGCAAGGGGCCCAGTGCGATGGCGTTACATAAATATTGTTCATCATTCTTTTTGGTATGGTTCTATTTTATTTTTATAAATTTGCCAGTTTGTTAAGTTTTTTGATAATTATATATTATTATTGATTAATAGTTTCACGATCGATGAGTTTAAAGCTAAAACATATGAGAAATATCTTTGAATATATTATAAATTCCATTTTGAAGTTGCAAAATTAATGTACATGATATGAAGCTAGCAACATATCATCTTTGTTAACATTTTTATGTGATTCGTTTTAGTTGAAAATTATAACAAAAATATTTTTATTCTGCTAACGTTCCCAAGTTTGCATTTTCAAAAAGATTAATGATTAAATTTTCCATTAAAAGAATAAATGGTAAATGAAAAATGGGTCAGTAACAAGAAAACGTAATTAAAAAAAAGGACATCCAACTTTTTGTCTTACAAATAAATTCACATCATTCAAACTTGTTTACAAATAGGGAAAATCCTTTTATATATACACCAAAATTATCCCAACTTCTTGAAACCCTAATTCAACTCAAATTTCACGATTTACACTCCCAATTTAGCCAAATTTCACCAACTAACCAATTTTGACCGCCACCATCGGTCTCTGACGTTGATTTTGATTTTTTTTACCGGCAGGTCAGCCGTCGTTGACCGTCGGTCTCCGCCATTGACTTTTTTTTTTGAAATATTTTCATTGATATTACTGTCTCAAACAATAATATTGCAGGTCAAGATAGTAATTTAACTGTGTGTGAGAAATTAATTTAACTATTTAAGACAGTAATATTAATGTCTCCGACGTCAATTTTACTGTATTAATTAATTTTATCATCTTGCCCAGCAATTTTATTGTCTTCGATTGTAATATTATTGTCTCCGACCGTAATATTACTGTCTCCAACCGTAACATTACTATTTGGGACAGTAATATTAGTAATATTAATGTTTGGGATAGTAATATTAGTAATATTACTGTTTTCGCATTCAATATTACTATCTCAGAAAATATTTTTATTGCTAACACAGTAATTTAGAGAAAACAAATAGTTTCAAAATAGAAAAAATTCTCAACGTTGGGGACCGGCAATCAACGGCGGTTAACCATCTCGAAAAAAATTAAAAAGAAAAAAGAAAAAAGAAAAAGTGAAATCCGGAAAACCGCGCGGTCA